TTTAGAAACCACACACAGTATGTCTGACAACATATTTGAAATATATTTGTGCACCTTGTAAGAGGAAAGAACAAAGACATTTTTCCCAAAACAGAACAAATGTGCCAATTTTTAGACTAGAAATGTTCTGCAATCGTGTAGAGAGTTAACAGTTCCTTTTTTTTTATTTATTTTTTTTGCCGAAAGGCTCTGTCTGGAAATAATTTCACATTATTGCAATAACTAGCACTAGATTCCTTGATGCACCAGTTATCATATTCACCATCAATATCAAAGAAGCCGTTTAGAAACCCATCCACTGTATAGACACACCCCCTTTTTCAAAATCCCGCCCTCTCATATATGTGCTGCTCAGTTGATTGACAGTAAATGCTCTTCTTTCAAATGAATGTAGACATCAATGTGACTCTCAGCCAGGCTGTCAAATTGAAATCAATGGTGAAAATCTCTTTGCTAATTGGTAGGATTAAGCTTTTGTTTCTTTAGTGGACAACACTCAAAAATAAAGCAAACTCAAGCACTCCAAAAAACAGTTAAATAAGCAACTGTGATTGCTACTCACTATCAGCTGTGGTATATTCCTGATGATCCAAGATCCCAGACTCCTGTAGGGAACGGATACACGAATCCACCAGTTCCAGACCTGTGTTTAGTTCCTCCTCAATATCTTTCTGTCCATCTGGGAAAAACAGGGAGGAGGTTAATCACGCATGAACTACACATACTTCCTGAAGCCTCATTCGTCACACTTGGGCTCTGACCTCTTGACCTTTTCCCATCCCTTGCTCACTAAGCATCCAGGCTGAGATTGAACTTAATTGGCTGTTTGGATGACCCTGTTAACCGGCGTGTTGCTTGTTCTGTGTCAGGACTGACTGCCAACTCTTCCAGGGCCAGTGTGGCATAATTTGCCAAGGGATAAAGGGTTACACAAGCTCCCTAAGACATATGATTAACCTCTCAACTGGAGCAGCACCCATACGGTGGGAGAGCAGGATGCTAAGCTGGGATTCGTCACTGTTTAGACACATTTGAGAGTGACGCAGGCTAGACATGTTGGGTTAAATATGGTTAGAGCAAGCACACTAGAACTGCAACAATGAATCAGTAAAACTGCTAAAATGGATAATAAAAATACTCCATAATGAATTTAACGAATACTATAGAAGGTTACTTTAAAACCTGTATATTGTAATCTATTGATAGTTTCACGTGACGTCACACCCTTATAGGAACGCCCACCTGGAGGGCAAAACGAAGCTTTGCTCTACTGACCGCCAGTTATTTTTTACAGAGTTTGCATTAAGTAGTAATATAGTAAAACGCAGATATTAAAAGGTGAAATTCAGTAAACACCTTATTGATGATGTATATTTTGTACAGGCAAGCATATGAACCCAGAATTTAAACACAATATGCAAAGTTTCATGTTAAATGGTTTCCCATAGAAAACCATTATAAGGAAAACACTGAACCATTAAGCGGATTGCGTTCATATTCCGACCTCATCTGATTGCCTATGTAAACTATGCATCATTAATATAGTGATTACTGAATTTGATCTTTTAATATTACTGTTTTAAATATATTAAAACACTTTAAGTGTTTTAACAACGTTTGTCGCACTGTTTAATGATTTAAATATTGCCGCAGGTGCTTAATATGGATTGCAAATGGCCAAAACTTGCATTTTGTTCACATACCTTTGTTTTATTCTTTTGAGAGGTGATCTAAATATTTGCGGCTGTGAAACAGATGGAAAATTTATAGGCTTGTGCTGCAGTTCTATGGATGTTTTGTCCTCCAGGTCTTCGAGCCGGTCACGTGACTGAAAGCTATCAATATACAGCATTTAAAACGTATTTATTTCTTCTATCCAGACCTATAATGTGCATACAACACATTTTACAACAGTTTTCACATACTGAAATTCATGATGCAATGATCAAGATGATGCAATGAACTTGTATGCTGCAGCACAACTAATTCAGCCTAGTTATGAATTTTCCACAAAAAAGCCTGACAACAAAATTTCAAAAATCATAAAAAAAAAAAAATATGCCATTTACCTTGGGTATTCCAGCGATACTGCTCATCGGCTGAACTGCAAACAAGAAAAATAACAGTTGGAGTCACTCTCACAATCATATTTCTCACACTAGCATGTATATGCACACTGTACAAAGCAACTAAAGTAAATCCTGCTAAAAAAAATTGAATATATCCTTGCTCAATTAAAATATATTTCCTAATTTCTTTTCAATTATAATGAACTGTTATATTTTAAGTTGAACAAACAAGCACAGACGAGTTGAGTAACATTAGATTTTTTATTTGATATTTTTTAATTTTTAGCTTTGTGTTTTAGTCTCATCTACTCTCTTCCCAGCATGCACTGGGACATAAATAATTGATATGGTTGCTAGTTTTATTTACATTGTTGTTCATGATGTTAACATTTAGTAACTGGTCTTGTGATGTCATGAATTCGTTCCCATATTAAAATGATCTTTCAAATGTGTTTAGGTTGAAAGGCATTTGAAGGTGTTTTTTCCTCACAAGTATTCGTGTGATATTGTTAGTAGACTTGAACACTTCAATCCCCATGAAAACAAACCATATAAAAACACACAAAGAAAGGGAACACTTTGCATACACTCTTATTTTTACAAATGTCAATAAAAGGCAGACAATAATAATAAGTAATATGAACTTCACTTATTAAGTTTAGTCAAGACATTTAAACTCAAAAGCCATGCAAACATTCATTTTCTAAGTTCACTTTTACAGTGTAAATACTGTTTGTGATTCAAGCTTTGATGTTTTTTCTATCTGCCTGCCTGATACAGTAGAATTGAGATGTAAGAGAATAATTGCGAAACCCCCAACATCTCTCATCTCATAACAACCCAACATCACTGGCAGGAAATTACTGCAGGCTGGGGTGAACCGAGGGTGCCACTTCACACGAATGCAGATGTATTTTCCCTCTATCCCAGATCTCAGATCAAAGGTTAACCGGGATAACGCTTCCCACCCTTTAGACCATCATTATTATAAAGATTTCCTATTTATACTGGGAAAGAATACAAATGACGTCGTACAGGCACATAGTGGGAATGAGACTGGTGCAGAATATTGGATTTCCTGGACCATGATCGATGCTGCCGGTGCCTGGCTGGGCCCGAGGATGGAAAAAAAAGAGAGAGAAAGAGAGAGAATAGGGATGGGGTTGGCTAAAATCAGCTCTGCTGCGGTTGACTGCCCATCTACTGTATAGACGCCTTCAGGCATAGCACGCTGTGACCCATGATCCTCTGCTGCGGCAGCCTGACAAACTGTTAGAAGGTTTCCTGCATTGAAAAAAGTCTATTTATCAGCGGTAGATCTCTGCACTAGGCGTCATGGAAAAAAACTGTGTGTGTTTACCAGAAAAACGTCCTACCCCCTACGGAAAACTCTTCTGCTGCCCACTGCTGTCCCCCATCAACAGACAATCAAGGCCATTTATTCATTCAGTCTATCCTACGGCTACGTTAAACAGCAGGCATTGGGAATATATACCTAAAAAAAAAAAAAATGGAAACAACTGGGGTGACATTGGAGTGACAAGAGTTGTTACAGTGTGTGTCCTTGTTCAAGGACCAAATGGATCGAGATATAAACTATAAACCGAAAAGAAGACGCCTGGGTCATTTCTGAATCTGAATGTGGAAGGGCCTGCATGGTCACAGAAGTGTTTCAGTAGATTTTGCATGAAAACATTTATTTATGCTTTAAAATATACAAAGATGCATTGTGTCCATGAAGAAGACCTGTTTCATGTGTGTAGTGATTTGGAGTTGGATTTTGTTGTTCTCTACTTTTCATAATAGAAAATCAGCAACTATTGTTTTTCATGACGTTCTGTTAATTGTTCTGTTAACTGTTCATCTTCTGATGTGATACTGTACTAAAATATTATTTTGTTATGCCACTGATATTTAAAGCCAGTAATTGTTTTCATGAAGTGGCCAGTAATTGATAAATGACAGATGTTAATACTGAAAAAAGCAGTAAATTATTATTAAATTGTTATAATTGTATACTATTGTGTCAAAATAAAAAAAAATAAAAATCAATTGCCGCACGTGAGCATCACACCATAATAAGGTACAGTACAGTGTGAAAAATGGATATTCATTTTTAAGATTTGTTCAATATTAATTTAACAGTGTTATTCAATTATTAAATGTAATCTAAAGGTCTAGGTAATCTACATGTAAAAATAGGGGAATACATAACTAACTACTCCACACTAAGTAATAATAATACACCTCTAATATCAACGGATAACCATTACGGTACTGCTATATTGTAAATTCTTAATCCTTAATGCTTTTCACGTACAGTAAATCTATAGCGCCACAACAAAATATCACAACATAATATGCATCAATAAAGTTGCACATACTGTAGGCAGGTTTAGTACGAATCACAAACAAGCCGGTTCTTTTTAATGATTCAGTCAATTCTGTCAAGATCCAATTCTGTCAATAAGTTATAAGTCTGAATCGATCCAACGAATCACTGAGTCATGTACAGTGGTTCTTCAAATACTTACCAAATAGTTTTTGGTTCATAGAAACTCATACAGGTTCGGAAGAACTTGAGGGCAAGTATATGATGACAGAATGTTCATGTTTGGCTTCAAGGAATCAGATCAGTAGCTAGAATCATTCAACAACTTACGATTCCCATCCTGGGAGTCGTGCGCTTGCGCGTGGGCTTACATAACAGCTAGTGTATGCACTACTTGCTTTATGCAAGCACTA